TGTGTTTCAAAACGTCCATACTGTTTTGCATTTTCATGAGCAACATCCTATTGTTTTGTGTCATCATTTGTAATTGATGAATATAGAAGAACCATTGTTCCCTATTCTATTTTTAACATTTATATATTAAATGTTATATATTTTAGTTTATATATTATATATTTCTTTAAAGCAATAAATAGATTATGTAAACCCACGGACTCTTTCTCTCTTAAAAGGGAATTTACTCTGTTGTGTTGATACATTTTTTCATTAATGAAAAAATGAAGAAGCAATTTGGGTAAAGAGGTGAAGCCAAAGCTATATAAGGGTAAGTTCATACCAGAATACAGGAAGCAGAAATGTTGGCAGGAGGCATAGATAACATTCTCTAAGAATTTTACATATGGAAGCAGAGAAATGGTGCTATAGTAGAGGTCAAATTTGGTATGATCTTAAGATGGGAGATTTTTATAATATATTTGTGCACTGCTGAGAATAATCTACTAATACTTTATCCTAATTCAGTTTAAAAAATTAATGCATTGCCATAAGAGGAAAGACAATATATGTGCATTCAGATGTAGATAGTTTGGTAGAGTTTGTGGTAGAAAACTATGATCACACAGCCAGTATGTGGCCAAGCCAGGATGCAAATGTAGGCAGTCTGGCTCCTGAGTCATGCTCTTAACCACTTCCCCATCTTTCCACAGTTATGTATCTTTTAACTTAACTTGTTAATTAACAGAAACACTGCAGAGGCTCAATACAACAAATTACTTCTGCTTGAGGCTTTGTTTCCTCCGATAATGATATACTTAGTCATTTCACTTTTCAACCTCTTAAGTGAACTCAATTTTATGAACTATAAAAAAAAAAAAATGCCTCTTAACTCTGCCTGCCCAGCAAACTTCTATCCTGTTCATCCCCCTCCATCAAAGACAGATTTCTTACAACTGTATTTAACAGTCACGGCCTCACTTTTCCTCTGCTCATCAGTTCACTGCATTATGGATTTATGGGTTTAGCATCCACCATTCCTCTTGTACTCATCTCTTAAACATTACAGAGATTTCTAAAAGGTCAGGTCTCTTGGGTTCATCCCGTTAAATCTCTCTTCAGCTCTTGACTGTTGAAAACATGTTCCTTCTGAACATTTCTTTTAGATTCTATCACACAATTTACTCTTGCTTCTTTTTCCATTAACTTCTTGATTAATTAATGATTTGTATGTCACAGGCTTTTTGTCCTTAGCTCTAGAGCATTAAATGTCCCATATACACTAAGACTCCTAACTCTACAACTTCAGCGTCAGCATTTCCTGAGATAGTCCCATAGATCAAACTGCTAGTAAACACTTTTACCTGGTTGTCTCACAAGACCTCAGTTTGCATGTGAAAATCTAAATCATTATCTGCCATCTTCAATGATAGAATGTGTGTAGCCACAGCCCATACCCAGAAAATTATGATCTCTGACATGCTGTGCTACAATAACCTTGTTTTGCTGCTTTCAAAATCACACCTTTCCTAAAAAAACAACGAAAATGCAAACTCGCTACATTGAAAACTAAGAGTGACATTAAAATTTATGTCAAAATGTGGTAGGATTTTTTTTTTATGAATTACAGTTGATTGAATAGGAGTGATATATCCACTCAGTTGTCCACCAATATTTTATATGTAGAACAGAGAGAACCTGGACATGTAAATGTACTTCTCATCATGTGTTGGCAACTGTTAGACTCCTTAACGAGTAAAAAAAGGACTGTTCTAAATAGAACACTTAGTAGCCATTCTGCTACTGCATGATGGAGATTTTTGTGGTCAGTTAGAGGTCTGTTCATCATTCACACATCATCTTTCTCTCTCTTTCCAGAAAGCAACTGTGTGGGAAACATGTGGTAATGGAAGTGGCATGCTGCCACCCAAGAGGTTGCTCTATAAGTGGTGTATTCTGAATAGATGAGACTTTCATGTATGGCTCCTTTCATGACACCACAGCACCAGGACTCACACATAGAAAATAATGTCTAGTAGTAAATGAAAGCCTTCTAGACATTAGAAATTAAAATATAAACTGCTTGCATATATGCATTTACGTATCTAAGAGAGATCCAAAGAGAACTTCATTGGATCCAGTGGAGCCAGGCAAAATCCCAAAACACAATTAAAAAAAAGTAAAAGAGCAAAATACAAGGAAGTGAAAACATCATCAAACATAAAAAAAAAACAAAAAACAATTCCCAGGAAATAATTATCTCAGGATTCAAAATAAAATTTAGAAAATTTACCCATTCTCATAAATGAAAAACAGCAAAGGTTTTTATTAACAAGGGCAGAAATTCCTAACAGGCAGGCAGAGATAAAGAACTTGAGATGTAAAGTTATATAAAGGAAATAAAGAAGGATTACAAGGAAAATGAAACCACAATGATCAAATTTTAAAACCTGTATCAGAGCCATAGAGGTTAGAATTGACACTGAGAATGACAGAATAAGATCTGATGAGATCTCCAGAGTACAGAGAAAAAGTTCAAAATACAAAATTAATGAGGGAAAACAGATGACAAAAACAGGAAATGGAAATGTAGCATAAACATTATAGATTGGTATCAATAAAACTTTTTGAGCAATAGGAAAGAAAGAATAAAATACAATTCAAACACATTTTTTGGAAGTAAAAAATTTGAATATCAAAAATATGGGGAATGTTCTAGACATTGTCACCAAAAGCATACTGGCACACTTTTTCAATAAATGTTCAATTCTAAGGTTAAAAAGCATTAGAATCATCCATCAAATGAGAAATACATGCACATCTGTGCATGATTGTCTTTTCCCAAAATATATGACTTAAGTCAATATAGTTGCATCTACATACACCTTAAGTTTGCATCTTAAAAATTTTATGCTTACTAAGTTGTCTTTCATGAGTAAAAGAAACAGATGATCTTTGATATGCAGAGGTTGTGAGAGTACACCTTGTACACGCTATTTTTAAAAGGTTTTTGAAGACTTGCCTTCAAAACTTGGTTCCAGTCACATAACAGAAACATAAAGATCTTAAAATGTGAATACTGCAATCTAAAAACTATTTTGTATTGAGAGCATTGCTGGAAAAGGTAACAGGCAAACCATTTATCTAGAACTAGTGAGATATGTACAAAGAACAATAAGCAGAGACTAATAGGAAATTCTATAAAATGTAAAGCATCAATGAAATGGCGCAAAAGACATCAGACACAAATTTTTGTGGCCCTTTCCCTCTACTCCTCACTGCCCTCAAAATTTCTACATAGGAAACCCTGACAGCTTATTATATTCTGATTAACACAGCCCTTCTTTCCCTAATTCTACCAGGCCCATCATTGTAAACTTGCTGAAAGACTAACCCCATGAGTCTCTAGTTTGTACTTCCATCCATATTCCCCATAGAAACTATCAGAACTAATTATATTATACTTTATATTCCTATTTACTTTAGTCACCACATGAAACATGAACTTTTCAGATTATCCCTTTACTATAAAAGGTATAACTGAACAGGTAAAACATTGACCTTATAAGCTCTAAGGAGGTTCAACCCTGCCATTCCCATTGTATCTAGTGGCTCTAGACCTTCTTGGGCCCAATGTCTTGCTGATATAACAAATATTTTGTAGCTCTTGCTTTACTCTCCTGAAATGAAATTTATGGACAATATAACCAATGTACATTCATAATTTTAAAACTTTTACTAGGATAATAAAATGGAAAAATATGAGGACAATTGCTTATAATAAAATATATATGTTAGTTAATGTTCATATGTGACAATACTAGAAGAGACAATGAAATGTTGAGAAGCTTATGATATATAAGTCATCAGGAAGTGATAGACACAAAGGTAAACTGACACAGGTCTATTTTATTAATAATTAAAATATAGAGAGGTGGTATGGTTGTTAAAGTGATTTTCTAACACGTTGAAAACACCTGGTAGATTTCCAAACAAAATACAATACAATCTTCCTTCAAGTTAAATGGGAGTCTTATTCCTAGAAAATTTGCTGTTAACTAAAATTAAGTAGGCTATCTTTGCAGATGTATGTAAAATGGACGTAGGTTTTAGGTGGACACTATGTAAGCAGATTTTTCATATACATCAATGTTCAGTGGACTATTCCAAGTTTGTGTGTTGGTGTTGGTGTGTGATAAAGCATTTGTATTTATTTTTTTATTTGTTGGTTTGTTTATTCTAAGGACTGTACCATGTATTGTAGGATATTTAGCAATTTGAGCATCCTTCCATTAATAAAGTTGTATTAATATTTCTCCGTTCATTGTGATAACCAAAGAACCCACAAATTTCCACACTACCCCTAGGGGGCGGTACTACCTTTGTTGAGAAATTTTCATTTAGAATTAGCTTGAGAAGTTTATTACCACCAAGAATGACTATGGCAAGCTCTAACTTTGGCTTCATCTGCAACTGTATATAAACATATCAATATTGACAGGAAGTAGTTTAAGATGTTCCTAGAAAAAAATTTACCATCGGAATCATGTGGTTGTACTCCCACTTTTAGTGTGTTTAAACTCAGTTATCAATATTGGTTCTGTTCTTATTTTAAAGTTCAAAAAAGACTTCTATATTAGAAATGATTGTCCTTAAATTCTCAAAAAGCTAATCAATATCAAAATTTTGTAACTAAGAATTTATTCTAACATTTCTAGGGGAAAGAAAACTTATTTTGCTTGTAAATGCAATGCCTTTATTTTATAATACTAAATCATTATTAATAAGTGTATGTGTTTTAAATGATATTAAATAATAAAACAATGTTTTGATGATCCAACAGATTTGCTAATTTTGTCAAGAAGAACTAAAAATATTAGTGTATGTAAAACAATATTGAACTCAAATGCTAAATGATTTGAGTGATCAGTATGTGGCAAAATTAATTGGGAAGGCATTTTTTGTATACATTTAATTTTATTGTAACAGAATAACTTGCACACTTTTAACATCTAAAACTGAGCATCATCTTTTATTTTCAGTGAAACAAAAAAAAATTTAAAATAAACAGGAACAAAATTTCAATAGAGAATGTCAATTCTAAGTAAGATCCTACAGGTTCTGCTAATTCTCCCATTAAGTAGCAGGGCTCAACTCATCATTAGCAGAGAATTTATTTTAAAACTGTCATCTAAACTGCAACTATCTCCATTAAACATCACAATTAAACATGTAAAGCAGAAATTGTCAAATTGCCCACTTAACCTACCCAAAAACATCTCAAATCCATCCTTTGCTGACCTTCTATAACCCCATTTTTTGATGTTTTCTTTTCTTTTTGTAAACAAGAGAAAGTAGATAGATACATGTTGGTAAATGCTAACTGCCCATATTCGCTTGTAGATATGGTGTACTTTGTGAGCCCAATATAGAGAGAAAGAAAAAACCTAGAATTCCATGCACTACAACACAGGGTCTGAGTGCTCTCCAGCTTCCAGCAGAGCGAAGGGAGCAGGTTTTTCTTTTTTCACACAGAGCTCGGTGGTGTTGATTCTAGACAGTTTTGGGGGGGACTGGAAGGGATAAAAATGAATTTGGAAGAGAAAGTGGTAGAGATTCTTTTACCCTTAGATTCTATTCCAGGTATTCCCCCCCAAATAAGTTGAGAACCAGAGCGGAGAGGAAAGAGACCTCAAGAACTGGGCACAAGAGGAAAAAACAAACAAACAAAACAAGACTGCAACTTACTCCCATGACCTGGAGAAATTTTTAAAAAGGAAATTTGGTGTCCATCAATGTTCTGTCAGTCATCTTTGTCTTCATGCTTCTCTCCTTCCTCCCCTTCATTATCATCTTCATCTTCTTCACCTTCATCCTCATCCCCTTCTTCACCAATATCTTCCAATCCTTCTTCTCCTTAATCATCATCATCATCATCATCTCCCTGGGAAGGCAATTTATATAGGAAATTTTAAAATTAAGCTGAAAAATATAGGATGTCAGAAAAGATAGGATTTCATTTGAAGAAACCCCCTGGAAAGTAAAAAGACATAAAGGTAGAAAACAGTTAATGAGGTTACCCAAGTTATAAAATGAAACAATGCATCAATTACAAAGGTCTGAAGAGTAGGTAGAATTCAATTTTTTCTCGTTTTTATAATGTCAACTTTTCCTTTTCTTGGATATTTTTCATTTATTTTAATAGGACACCAAAAAAGCAGGGTCTTAATCATACCAACTAGACATTTTGTATAATTTGACTGCTTAACTGAGGACATCGATCCCATTCTTAACTTTTGTACTCCAGTTTCCTATTTCACGGCAACATTTGAACATATTGATTCCCCTAGGATTTTTTTTTTTTTTTGAGAAATAGAAGATATTATCTGATTATTGAAGCACAAATGCAAGACATTATTCTAGACCACCGCAAAGCTGTGTTTGTTCCCAGAAATACCAATGATTTGAGTTGAAGTCTTGGACAACTAACAAACACTACTTAATGAGCTCACTGCTCAAATTCTTACTGTGGGCTTTGTGTCACCAAAATTTGTGTTTCTGCTAATTTACATTTTTATGTCCAACTATTTACTCTCTATGCCTATTCAAATTCCCAAGCAAAATAGATGTTCTGTTATGCTCAATATATATTATATTATATTATATATCAATATATATTATATATCAATATTTATATATATGTATCTATGCACATATATGAGTGTTATATGTGTATGATACATATTACACACACATATACACACTATATGTGTGTATGCACATATAGTGAATATGAGTTAAATTTAGTAAAAAAGAAACCACATCTATATATTAGGTTAATAAAGCACCTACTATTAGAATTATACAATTTATTTTAAAATATTTCAGTTGGTTATTAGTTTGTAATAATATAAACCAAAGGAATATAAAGAAAGGGGCCACATAAAAACATCATTAATGTCCAACTTTAAATCAGTTATATCAACTCATAGAAAAGTTTTCTAAAATTGTAAGTAAAATAAAAAAGGGTGGCAAAATACGTCAAATTTAAAACAACCTTGTCAGTTCCAGGACAAAATTAATTATCTAAATTATCCCAGCAGGTTTGGTGGTCTTGTCTTTGTGTGGGCCACCTGCTTTCCCATTTCTTGTCATCCTGACTTTTCACACTCATTCATAAACCCCTCTCATTGACCATGTTATTGTTTAAGAGCTTTGTGATTTTAAAAGCATGAGTGTGGAGGTCATGTTTAAGCCATTGTTAGTTGCTATTATAATTACAGTGATTATTATCTAGTGAAAGCTTTTTTGGCAGATTTCCACCAGAAGGCTAAGACTTGCACCCAAGTTTATTTTCATTAAGCTATTGAGGTTTGTCATTTTGTTTAAAATGAGATTTAATTCCAATTCTTTTCAAAATAAGGTAAGCATATTGAATTCCATGACTACCAAAAAGGGCTTCCAAATTCATTTAAAAATCAATTAACTGATTGTCTTAAAGATTGTCACAAAGCAGGATGTTAAACCACATATGATGCATATTTGTGATGTCAGTTCAGAAAATATGTTTGTATATAAAATATAGGATTTTTTCTGAACTAAATTTTTTTAAGAAAGAGAAAATTTATAAAGCTATAAACTATTTGTTTTTAAAAAGATCATGTTATACAATCCAGCAATTGCACTCTTTGATGTTTGCCCAAAGGGGCTGAAAACTTATGTTCATATGAAAACCTACAACAGATGTTTAAAGCAGTTTGGAGACAGTGGTTCCCAGGGGTTGTGAGGAAGGATGGATGAATAGGTGGAGCCCAGAGGATATCTAGGGCAATGAAACTGTTCTCTATGATGCTGTAATGGTGGATACATGTCATTGTATATTTGCCCAAACCCATAAAATATACAAGACCAAGAGTGAACCCTAACATAACTATGTACTTTGGACAATTATGACATGTCAGTAACAAATGTACCACTCTCATGGGGGATGTTGGTAGTGCGGGAAGCTGTGCACGTGTGGGGGAAGGGGGTGAATAGCGAATCTCTATACCTTCCTCTTAATTTTTCTGTGAACCTAAAAGTGCTCTAAAAATAATGTAATTTAATAAAAGTCATGTTGTAACTTATGATCAGTAAAAATTATGCCTAAGATTATACCTATGTGCATCACTAGTTCCAAATCAATATGGGAATAATTCCTCTGAGAAATTTGACTTTTGTTCAGTATTGGTTATATGCAAAGAAAAACCTAATGGATTTATAAGAAAGATGTTTAGTAATCAGAATTGAAATTATATATGCTATATTTAATCAGAAAAATACCTAAAATGATCTCTTATCTGAGAATTTTGGTTGATCCTTTTTATTGTGTATGCACTCATGTGGTTAAAGTTGAAGGGGGATGAAATGATACCAACATCCCGAACATGAAAGTCCAGATTATACTCATTCTTCATGAGTTGTAAGAGCATTGATTAAATAAATCCTTTCATCAGAATTATCCTCTACATAAAAATCAGCAAATATCTTCTTTCAAATGTAAATACACAAGAATAAAACAAATGAAAACCACAGACCTAGGGCAATCTGATGGCAAGATAACACTTGGAAAATGCAGGGATTTTATTTCTATACATCTAAAGCTTATACATATTTCCAAAATTGGTTGGTTGTCTGACTGCCAACATTTTAAGATATAAGTGATTGCTATTTAATTAAAGCATATTTGTGAAGCACGTGCATATGTACTTTCATATATTTATTTAAGATGTATATAATAGTCTGAAAATCAGGAAAGTTGCTTGACTTTTCCAAGACTCAGTTTCCTTGTCTGTAAAATGGTGCTAATATAAATTAAACTTAGGATATTGTTGTGATGTTTTCACCAGTAAACACAAAGGTGCAAGAATGTGAGTTTTCTTAAAGTTATATCAAATTTAAATTCAACCTAATGACATCAACTAGGGAAAAATATATTTGTCTGTTTTTTCTTTATATTTTTTTCATTATTGAGCAAGAACTATCATACTCTTTACTACTGAGCAAATATTTCAGACTCTCTGAAAGAGAGTCTTCATTCTGCAAGAATGAAGAAGAGCCAATACTTAGTAATTGTCTAATATGTATCAACACTAAATATCTATGTGATGGCATTTTATCCATGCAACAGTACCTATGAAGCATTTGTGGTAGAAGCTCTCTTATCCACCACATTTGAATTCATTTATGGAATTAATGGTGTTCTATGTTTCCTCAATAAAACACACTGACTGATGCATCTGTACACTCTACAGACTGCCTGGGCATTTCTCCTACCACACGTGAAGTTATATGAATATGAGGACCAGTTGATTTTTAAGCCTAATTCTAGAAAGCTAAGTTAAGTGCTTTGTAAAGACTCTATAAAGGTGAGTCACTAACAAAAATAATTGTTGATAAATTAGAAGAGCACAAACTAGGATCCCCTAGTCTACAGTGGACTTTTAAAAAAACAATTGATACTTAGGTTTTATAAAATTAAGAGCTATTTATTTCATATTCTATCCTTTGTTATAAAAGGAACAAAAGAAAATCAAATCTTTAATTATTAAGTAAATTCAAAGGCCAAATACATAAGCTTTACATTTAGCAATTGCATCAACCAGCAAATATTTGAGTTATCCTGGCAATATTTGATATATGAGCTCATGTGTATATTTAATAAAATACAAGGATTTTAACAGGTATTTGGTTGGTTGAGGTATAAACTACATACATTGTATGTATTTCAAAAATAAACATTTTATATAAAAACATACAAAAAGATAAGCGATGTGCAGCATTATGATGTTACCCCTAAAAATAATATCTATTTACCTATAATTTTGGGGGGTTCACATTCCAGAAAGAACAATCTACCATCTAAACCCAGCCATGCCATATGATTTGGTAATAGTGAATATTTGGAGTTTGGGACTTAAAGGGTGGTGATAGGTGGGAAATGTCCTTTCTGCATTTTAGGGTTCTTTTTTTTTTTAAGTAAGGATCTATGAACCAATATAACAAATCCATTAATCCATTTATGGGTTATTAGTACCTACATTTTTAGGCTTTCCTACTTCAGAGAGTCTGAAATATTTGCTCAGTAGTAAAGAGTATGATAGTTCTTGCTCAATAATGAAAAAAATATAAATAAAAAACAGACAAATATATTTTTCCCTAGTTGATGTCATTAGGTTGAATTTAAATTTGATATAACTTTAAGAAAACTCACAGTTAATTTTTTGAGAATTGAGGAGTTTAATGATCATCTTCCATTTGAATGGAAATGAGTATGAATATGCTTTAAAATATGACAAGTGCTAGTGAAAATAAAATAGTTACTGTATAATTTTTTATCAAGATATAATCGTAAGTGCGAAAAAGATCCTTCAAAGCAATACATTTTTGTGAAGAATTTTAATTGTTTTTAAAATTATTCTTTCTCAAATTATTTATTGGCAATGTCAACATTATTTTTTTAATTACTAAGTGTGATTTTTCTGAAAATACTGTTTAAAACATTCTAAAACACAGATTATTTATTTCTTCACTTATGTTTTTATTTATTATTTTTTTTAATTTATTTTTATTTTAGCGTATTATGGGGGTACAAGTGTTAAGGTTATGTATATTGCCCATTCCTCCATCCCCCCTCGAGTAAGAACTTCAAGTGTGTCCATCCCCCAAATGTTGCACATCTTACTCGTTTGGTTGTGTATACCCATCCCTCCTTCCCTCTCCTACCCTCCTGACACCCGATAAATGTTACTCCTATATGACCACTTAGGTGTTGATCCGTTAATACCAATTTGCTGGTGAGTACATGTGGTGTTGTTTTTCCATTCTTGAGATACTTCACTTAGTAGAATGGGTTTTTTCCTACTTACTTTTCCCAGTGTCAGACAGTTTGGCTTATCAGTACATATTTTGCAGTTAGAGTGTTTGGTATGTATTTGATAAATTATTTAAATACCATATGGTTTTGACATGATTCTTATCCTAGAATCTGAATGCTTTAAGTTCACACTAAGTAGATTGAGAAATAGAAGAAAATAATTAGTAGAATCATGTTCATTCTTTACTTAAGAATGGTAGCCATACAACCAATTAAAGATAAAAAAGAGATAAAATGCTAGCACTGTAATTCAAAGAGACAGAGAACAAAAGAGAGAGGAGAAAAATCTGCTCCTTTTCCAATATACGTCTTTGTTTCTTAAACAAGAGCAATGAAATACTCACCACAAATGGCTTAATTAATCTCCAGGCACAGCCTCTAGTGTTGTCCCAGACTCCAACTGACATTTGGTGACAATCAAAGACATGCAGCTCTTGGGAATACATGGTTTAGTTTGGCCTTAAATTTGTTGCTATAGCTACAAAACATAACGAATACAGGTTTTCAGACAATCACAGATTGGAGGAAAAAGAGAACACTATATATCCTAGATCACAGGCCATTTCCATGTGTATGCTTCCCCAGTATAATGTTGATGATATTCATATAATATGGATGATCATACCGACCAGTGGTAAATATTTAATTTATTAAGTATGAAGTGTCTGATTTTCTTAAGTACTAAGTTTGACAGTTGATATCTCTGACGTTTCACTTTGACACTTCTTGTTTTATTTTTATTGGGAAGGTACATCCTCATTCTTTCAAATGCACAGTTTGGCTTGTGATTATCTTACAAAAAAATTTTTAGAGCAATTTTTGTGAAACCATGGATAAGTCAAAAGTTTATGTTATTTTCAAATTTGAGTTCCATCATGGAACCAATGCAGCACACACAGCTCAAAATATCACTGAAGTGTTTGGGAAGGATGTGGCTAATGAACGCACAAGAAGTTCCATTCTAGTGAATTTAACCTTGAAAATGAGCCATATGGGTGACCTAAGACCAAGGTAGACAACATGATTTTAAACCTGTAGTGGAAGCAAATCCATCCTAACCTACACGGGAATTATCAACAAGATTTTATTTTACTATGTCAACAATATTGGGTCATTTGAAACAAATCGGCAAGGTAAAGGAGCTGGATAGTTGGGTACCAGATGAATTAAATGAGCATCAGAAGAGAAATCGTCTTGAAGTTTGCCTTTCTTTACTTTCATGACATAATGGTGAACCATTTCTACACTATATTGTTATATGTGATGAAAAATGGATTCTTTCTGACAATCACAAGCATTTGGCACAATGGTTGAATAAAGATGAAGGGCCAAAACACAGCCCCAAACCGAATATTTCATCTAAAAAGCTAATGTTGTCTGTTTGGTGGTCCAATGCTGGTGTTATCCACTACGGTTTCATGAAACCTGGTCAGTTGATTACAGTAGATGTCTCCTGAAACAAATTGGGTGAAATGATGAGAATGCTTGTGATTTAGCAACCAAGATTGGTCAATAGAGACAGGCCAATCCTCTTTCAAGCCAATGCTTGACCACCTGTCGCACAAACAATGCTGCCAAACTACAGAGGTTAGACTTGGGAATTCTCTGTCATCCACCCTATTCACCAGACCAAGCAAAAATGTTGAGGAGAAAGTTCATGATGTGTATCTCGCTTTAGGAGAGAGGTATGAAATTGAAGTTGACAGTGAGTAGTTGTCACTTATAGATGACATATCAAACCATGTGTTAGGATGAGAACCTAGGAAGTGAAGGTAATTACAGAAGGAAGGAGTTCCAAGAAAACCTGTTTGGGGCATTCTAAAGTTATGGTCTGAGAGATCAGGAAGAACTGACAAAGCAGATTAGGAAGAAAGAGCCGGTGAGGAGGAGAGATTGTTATATTAATATATAATTTACTATTACAAATACATTCCAGATGTTGTTTTTTGTCTGTTATACATGTTTCAGATATTTTAGTGCCTAGTTTTAGCTTTGTTTATAATATTAAGATTTTCAGTGTGATATAATTGAATTGACTATGGAAATCACTCATACTACTATTTCATGGGTAGAGCTAGCTCAGCAGTGAAGACAGAATGATAAAAATTGTATGACCAGACTCAGGATGGTCATTTTCTAGATAGAGTACTGGCCATCACTCATGAAATATGTTACTGATCACAAGATACTGCTAAGTAAGCTGGACTGTAAATGTTGTAGAGAGTAAGGATTTCTTATTCGCTTTGCCTGTACATGTTTTATGTATAAGAAAAGGTTGATTGATGAGCTTTAGAATTGTTACAGGAAATGTTTGGAGCAGATACAGACAACAAAATCAATACTGTCCAATAGACAGGATTCATGTGAACAGATTTATTATCTTAACTTTTCATTCCCAATGCCCTGTCTTATATTGTTATAAAAAAGTTAAATGTATGTATTTATAAAGTAGTACGAAACAGGTAGCTTTGATATGGTAACATTAACTGTTAAAAACTCAAGGCTTGGATATAAGTTGTGATCCCAGAACTATTATATTTTGGGCTTCTTTTAGATTCTGTTCAAGATAAAGATCATTCCATTGTTTCTCTTACTACACTACCTTGAGGGATCAGTATGACCAATTTCTCTATTTTTAAAGAATCAGCTACATTATTTTCAGTTCCAAATGAACTTGTAAGCAAGTTAAGTTAAATTTGGATATGTTAGAGTTAGTTGAGTTTATCTGAGGTCTAAGTATGAACTGATTTGATAAAAGGTGGAATTAATATGGTGAAAGTCTCTAACTTTTTTCAGTGAGCACAGACAACTCTATTATGTATGTACTTTGTTATGTATGTACTGTTTATGTTAGTACTTAAATACATTCGCTGTGTTCTTAAACTTTTCAATCTGTCTTTACTCATTTTGTGGGCTTCATCAGTTTCACAATTTAAATATATCACCTATCTGGGGTGTTTGACTCAAAATTATTTCTCTAGCCTTATCAAAATTTTATCTCCACTGAACACCAAATGTATATTCAATGGTTTACACAGCATCTTCACCTGTATATTGACTAGACTTCTCAAAGTTAGCATTTCTAAAACTGAGTTTCTGACTCCTCCCATCCCATTCTCAAACCTGCAGCTCCCATGGTCTTTCCTGACTCAGCAGTAGTAACTCCATTCTCTTAGTTGTGCAGACAAAATGTAGCATCATTCTTTATTTTACTCTTGCTGACATCACACTTCCATCTATAAGAAGAATCCTGTCACTTCTGCCACTAAATTATGTTTAGAGCCAAATACTTTTCACTACCTTTGCTGGTACCATCCTGGCCCAAGCATCCAACAGATAAATAATATCTGAATTATTCCTCTAATTTCCCAACTGTGTTTGGAGTTTAGTGGTGTTTTGAGAGGTAAGGATGTAAAGTAATGCTTACTGAAGGTGCTAAAGTATCTGGAAGTCATGTCAGTTTAACGTTCAGAACACTAAATTGAGCAGGAAAGTGGCATCATGGGTCTTCTTAAATATTTGAAAGAGCCTTTATATTTTATCAAGTCATATGTCATCTCTGTGGCCCTAAAATCAATGCAAAGACTATCAAATGGTATTAACAGGGAATGTTTCTGCTCAATGTGAGGAAAAGATTACTAAGAATTAAAATGTCTTCAGTAAAACGAGGGGCTATTTAATGAGGTAGTGGGCAAGTGATAACTAAAAATTTTCAGTTTAAAACAGGGGGTCTCTGTTTTATAGGAATATGATAAATGAAAACCTAAATATGTCTAATTGGTAGTTGAAAATAAGGAGATACTAAATTATATTGTTTCTTCAGAATACTCAAAATAAAACACTCAAATGAATTAAGAGACAGCATAGTGTTGGGCACATAAGAAATGGCCAATAAATCCATGTAGAATTAATAGGTTGAAAATTGTAACATGTCACAACTTTCAAAGGATCATGAAGACATTAATGTTCTCCATTATGTATGAAAGATTTATTTGTTCAAGCTTACACAATTCTGTATTTGGAGATTATAAATTATGCCCATATGCTTTTGGATCTAAATTATTCATATTTTTTGTGCTACATACTTCATGCAAGCAATAACCTTATAAGTCCCAAAGCTCTAGCATTGTATTCATCATGTAGTTGTATGTTCTAGAAAAATAGTCATTAGTATACTTATACAAAATAGACTAGAATGCTGCTGTCTTTATGCTCAGGAAAATATTCCATGGAATTCACTATTTGTTTTTTTACTTTTTTAGACAAAGGAATTTCACATAATAGCTGGTGAAATTCAGTGACCTACATTCATTAGGGTTTCTCCATAGTCCCTTGGAAATATGTGTAGTGTAACTTTGCTTGTGTACCCCCGTCTACACAGACTTTGAAAGCCTTAGAATGATGAAAATTGAATCTATTTTCTAAACAGTCTTTATTAAAGTGGCTAAAAATCTACTAAGACCAGATATAAGCTGATATTAAGCTTCTATCAGTAAAATTGTTCTTGCAAATTATTTATTAAATAATCAGCATTGGTTCCTTTTTATGTTGGCATTCACAAGTAGGTTGAATGATTGTTTAGAACTGCAGTCCCCAACCCCTGGACCACAGAGTAGTACCATTCCATGGCCTGTTAGGAACCAGGCTACCCAGCAGGAGGTGAGCAGCAGGAGAGCAAGCAAAGCAACCTCTGTATTTACAGCGGCTCCCCATCACTTGCATCCCTGCATAAGCTTCGTCTCCTGTCAGATCGGTGGCAGCATTAGATTCTCACATGAGCCAGAACCCTACTGTAAACTGTGCATGCAAGGGATATAGGTTGTGTGCTCCTTGTGAGAATCTAATGCCTGATGATCTGAGGTGGAGCTCAGGTGGTGATGCTAGCGCTGGGGAGTGGCTGCAATACAGATTATCATTAGCAGAGAGGTTTGTCTGCACAAAAAATGTAATGAGCTTGACTCATCCTGAAACCACCCCGACCCTGTCTGTGGAAAAATTGTCTTTCATGAAACTGGTCCCTGGTGCCAAAAAGGTTGGGGACCGTTGGTTTAGAACATAAAAATTGGTTCAAACTATTTGCTACAAAATACCTCTCTGGCCTCACAAGGGAAATGTTTGATTCTTTCCAAACCCTGCTTAATGACATAGTGACAGTCTATGCAATTTTACCAAAATTACTGCTAATGTGTTTCTGTCAGTGTTTTTCTATAGTAGACGAGTGATATTCCATCTCTCTCTCTCTCTCTCTCTCTCTCTCTTTTTGGAATGGTAGCTATTTATCTTTATTCCATTTGATCTGTTTTTCTTCCATCCTCTAACTTTACCTGTCCTCTTCTCACATCTTTAGGTTTTATAAACTTCAGAATACCATGTAGTCTTTCAATTAAAACAAGTTAATTTCACTTTTAACTAGGAAATTTTGTAACAATTGTTGAAAAACTTACGATATTCTGGGGTGTTGTGAAATTGGTTTAATAA